GACCGGAGTGGATTTATTCAAAGTAAAAAGTTTGTGGGGGAGTTATTAGTTTGAGTTTGCTAAGTTATTCACAAGGTACGTTTGGCGGTTTACTTTCTATGTGTGACCTTGTCGTTTTTAAAAGACTAAGGGTTATTGGCATGAAAATTTTGTTGATTGTTCATGGTGAATGTATTTTTTTATTTATAAAATTCAATATTTTATGATCAATGTGTATGTGCCTCAACAAGATTATAGTAAAAGGTTGCTTTGGAATATTATCTATGATTTTAAGAATCAAATGTTATTATGTTATATGTGGTTATCTTAACATGTTTAGAAATCTTTTAGAACGAATTGAAATGTTTTTTTATCCAGTTATTGATACAAAATTTAACTCTTTTATAGATGAAGCTCGTTTGCGGGAGATCTCGTTGGGTGGTCATGCTTTTACTCATATCAATACCCAATGCGATAAGCTAAGTTTACTTTATAAATTATTGGTATTGGAGAAATTATTGAATGAAGTCTTGAATTTGAAGGTTGTGACGATTGATAAAATAATGTCTGATCATTGAGTTATTGTGTTGTTTCAAGATTCGGTTGACTTTGGGCCAATTCCTTTCAAGTTTTACAAATCGTGGTTAGGAATAGAAGGTTTTGATGACATGATAAAGTGTGCTTGGGAGGAGGCTCAATGTTGTATGAGGTCTAAGAAATTTATAGCCTTCAAGAACAAAACGAAGTTTTTAAAGGAGTGTATTTGGTTGTGGAAGTCATCTTATATCTCGACTACGCATGTGAAAAAAAATTAACCTTATGTGTTTAACTTTTCTATCGTGTTGTGTTAACCCGTTTAATTAAATGAATTGAAATATCTTATCCAAACTTGTTTATTTCGTGTCAAATTAACGTATTGTATTATTTTTGCCACATCTATCAAACAATTATATAAGATGTTAAAAAACTCAAATAAAAACCAAAATTACAAAGCAACTTTTTGAAGTCAAATTATAAAAATAAAATAAATTCATAGACCAAAAATGTAATTTACTATATAATTATTAACCTAAAATGGTTTCTACTTTCTAGTCGGCATGGAAGGGGAGGAATAGAGATTTATTGAGATTGAGGGTATTGTTGGAAATTGGAATGAATATACGTCAATTTAAAAAGTTCCACGTTTATGGCTTTCATTTGAATGGAATTGTTTGTTCCGACAGGACAAAATGAATTTGATTCAAGTTTTCATATATGGATTAAATAATCACAGTAAATTTTAATTATTTGAGTTGTGATAATTTGATAAAACATATGTATGGTAAATAATATGTTGATCCATGTTTAAATTATAGAAATGTTTACCTTATGTTGCAACGAAGGTTCGTCAGTAATGATTTCATAGCATAAGACATCCTCATATTTGTTGCGGGAATTAATTGGTATGTAAACTAGCCAAAAAATATTCGTTAAAGAGGTTTCCTTTCCACAAGAAAAAAAAAACAAAAAAACAAACTAGAAGTAGAATTGATTAAGTTAAAATACTCCGTTTTTATGTATAGATTGAATAGCTAAAATTAAATCAAATTTTAATTTGAAACAACTAAATAAAATTTGAATTTTTTTTAGGACATTAGATTAATGTAATAAAAACACAATAAATTTTTACATAGACGTAGCAGGTAAACGAGCAACGGCAACCCCTTTTTGGATGACAAAATTAATTCTTTTAAAAACAACATATATAGATCTAGGAGTCATAACATTACAATGTATGACCCGTTGGATTCTATTGAGTCATAACAACTAAATTAAAATTTCATTTGCTTAATTGAAATATTAGGCTTTTATGTGTATTCGTTTTCCTTATAAGCTATATTTTCTAATTTAAGGATATTCAAAAAGAAAAGAAACTTCAAATTTTGACATCAATACAAGACGTGTTGGCATGAATTCATATATTGATGATGCGGCTATTATTCAAATCAGAATGTTCAAAAATATATATTCTAAACAAATCATAAAAACCATATAGGTATGAAAAATAGGACTTTAGAATAGTTATATAATGGTTTTGAATAGTTAACAACGAATTTAGAGGATGATCCCGATAAAAAATAGCTTGGGTTGAACTAAGGTGACAACTTGAAAATTGCCATCCGTTTGGATTTTTCACTTCCGATCTAGCTTTTTTGCTTTTCCACCATATCAGTAGTCTATAAGTATGTTTATATCGGCACGAGTAGCACAAGAGCATTGCTCTTGGACACTGATCGCTAATCGGTCACAGAGAACATCATAAAGGGTTATGTATTTTTACCGAGTAGGTGTGTTACCCCACTTATCCCATCCATTCACCGTTGTCAATATCAAAATATGATTATACAAACATGTAATATGCATAGTGCACTTGTATAAGGCCGCAATATAAAATCTCATTTGACATTCGTACAGATTACATGAATGATGTTATGTATAACTGATATTTTATCATCACAATTTCGTATGTATATATACCACTATTTATAATGCTTACAAAAATCTCATTTAACATTCGTATAAATTATATAAATAATGTTATCTATAACAAATATTTTATCATCACAATTTCGTATGTATGTATATACCACTATTTATAATGCTTACAAACTTATTATGTTTAAATTGCATTTAAATAAATTTGGTATAAATTGATACTCCAAATATCAGTTTAGACAAATAAATCATGAAATCGAAGGGAGAGGATATCGTAGATGGTTATTCCGTTTTATCAAGTATGTCACATGTCATATAATTGAAGGAAATATACAGCTTGATGGGTAATAAGGATGTACAAGAGAAACCTATAATAGTACCAAAAACCAAAAAACCAATCTGCTTTCAACATTTAGTGTTTTTAATTTTTTAGTTTTATAAAAAAAAAAAAAATGGTTTGGTTTGTTTTCTAAAGCATGAAAACCGGAAAAAAGAACCACAATACCATAAATTATGTCATTTTATGTATATGTTTAATTGATTAAGCATGTTAAAAATAAAATAATTATTATGTATTTATGGTTTCTATTTAAAAATAAAATAATAAGCATATGTTAGCCTCATCTTATATTATGTTTTAGGAAATTATATGTTTTTATTAAATTTTATCAACATTGTTTAATGAAGAAACTAAGAACATCTCCAAATAAGAGCTTATTTTTTTTAGCTTAATACCATTTCCTTATTGATATTGACCATTCATTTCCGTTGGAGCATATAACTTTTTTGTTTATTTTTATTGACCACTATCCTTTATATATTTTACTCCTTTATCTTTTAATTATATTTTAATTTACTCTTTAATTGTAATTTAGTATTCAATTTATTTATTTATTTACTAGTTAATTAATTTTATCAAATCTTTAGTGACATTTTATTTATAAATATAAATATAACGATTATATCATATTTTCAAACATGATGTGTGTTTATATTTTCATTTGTTTATAACATTAGGTGTGTTTTAATATGACTAACTTAATGGAGGAGATTATATATCATATTTTAATAGATAATAATAGATTAGTTAAATTTAAAGAAAAAAACTATTGAAGATGTTAACAATTAGAATTATCATTTAATTAGAGGTTAAAATCAATGAAATGATGATGTGTCAATAACTTTAGGCTACGGTATAATTTAAACATTGGAGATTCTGAAAAAATGATAGTTTGGGAATTTTCAAAATCAAAAACTAAAATTTCCGAATCAATTTTTAGATTGTGTTATAAGTATCCTTTAACCAATTTTACCCTCCTAACATCAATTTAATCAATCATTTACTTTTGATTTATATCATTTTTTAGTTTCTTTCTCTTTTTGATTTTTTGTTTTCTTGTTTCTTTCCCTTTTGTTTTTTGTTTTTTCTTTTCTTTTATTTATATTTTAATCTTATTGTTGTTATTATTATTATTATTATTATTATTATTATTATTATTATTATACATTTTGATAACTATATAAAATTCGGACATCATTATAAAATTCGAACGACTATATAAAATGGAACAAAAACAAAGTTTGTCTTTATTTTAGAAACAAACCGATATCATTATCGTTTATTGATAAATTACAATTCACCATAACCATTATGTAATGATTGATTACAATGAGCATATCCAATGTCTGATAGACTTCTCCATATATACAAATCAGAATATTCGGTAGCATGGGTTTACTATTGTTCAACTAAATGCTTTCAATCTGCATTACGCACCTCGCAAATGTAATACCGAATTAATTAATATCCGCGATAAATAAAAACACACTTTGCTTTTGTTCTGTTTTATATAGTCATTCGAATTTTATAATGTCTTCCAAATTTTTAATGTCATCTGAATTTTATATGTTTATCGAAATTAATAATAATAATAATAATAATAATAATAATAATAATAATAATAATAAAATATAAGAATGAAAAACAAAAAAAATAAAATAGAGAAAAAAAAAAGATAAAAAATCAAATCAAATGGTGAAATTGAAAAATGAAAGGGTACTTATAACATCAACTTTTTGATTTTAGTAAAAAAAAAACAAATCTTTCTTGTCCCTATGGGTTAAAAAGCTTATGTCAATGATTATATTTAAAGTTTAATCTAGAATTTTTTTTTTTAACTAATTTTTTTAAGAAGTTATTTGTGTTTTTAATTATGAATGTTTTTTCCAAAAGTATGATTGGTTTCAAAAGAAAAAAAAAACTAAATAATGATTTTTTAAATGAATGGTTGAAAATATATTGCTTTTTTTTAAGTTTCCTTATGCCATTAAATTTTGATGAAATTACATAAACATTACTAAACATTAGTAAGAAATAACAATTTATTGATATAAATTATAGATATATTAATTATATATAATTACTAATTCACAAGGTACACTTGAACAGTTCTATCCTCCTATTGGCTGAATTTTCTTTTTGAAAATTTCATTTTATTTTCCTTTGTTGTCTTCTTTCATTTAATTCATATTTTATGTTGCACTTAATGGTGGATTACAAATGTCTTAATTTCTCATACCTCTTTCCACGTGTTTCTGTTTCTGCTCATTTTTTGGCCATTTTCACTTTTTCCACTGCTTACGTTCTACGTCTCTCCTTTCTTTTGCTCTTTGCTAGACGATCTTTGGTTTTCTTTCCAGGTTAGTCTGTTCGTTCGTTTTTCCTGCTTCTTTTGTTCCACCACCGCCAAGATACAATACGTGTTTGTTTCTTCTGCATCTCCTTTCTTACTTACCCTTTAATCCTCCACCGCTCTTTCTTTGCTTTCTCTTCCCAATTGTTCCACTTTTTTCTGTTTCGTTTATTATGCTTCATCTCCCCTCTAGCGACGTTGCTTCTCTCTTCCGCCACCATCGACAGTCCCGATCCTTCCACACCTACCGAATTCTTCTTCTACTCTGATTATCACTCTATCTCCTCCCTTTTAATTTCTCAGAACGAAGATCATGGAAACGAAGGCCGAAGCAATACCCAGAATACCGCCGCCGCCGCAGGGATCAACGCCTTTGTCGATCTGACCCGTGTAACCGATAACTGTTAAGATAGTAACATAAAGGAAGAGAAGGGTGGCAACGAACTCGGCAATCACAGCTCTGTACAATGACCACTTGCTCAGCTCCTTGGGTTCTCTGAATGACACCGGTGGTGGGTCGTGGTAGTCCTTCGCCGTGTCTCCCACTTCCGCCACTTCTTGTGTCATGTTGAAAAGAGAGAATAATGAGTTTTAGAGAAAGTGGTGGTGGTTGTAGGTAACTTTAAATTTCGTTTTTTTTGGTTTCCTTATAATTTGGAGCCCTAATTTGCTTTCATACATTCTTATACTAAATTATTGTAATTTTCAGCACTTAACAAGGTACACGAGATAGAATGTTGCATTTGGTAAAGATGATGATTTGGATTTAGTTGGCTTTCCTACCAAGATAGAAAGAGAGGTACACTTTTTCTTGTGGGTTTTCTAGATTTCTTACACAATCTGGGTTTCTTAATATGTGGATGTCTTCTTCCTGGTGTTGTGTGGGGGAGGTGTTAATTAATAAGCTTAAATGTTTAACTGGTGAGGGGCATAGTTGGAAATTGTTGTTACTCTCTAAGTTCTTATTGAGCACATTTAACACTTACAAATTACTTTTTTTTTATTTTTTTTATTTTTATCGCAGCCGATTGAAGATCATGCTGATTGATAATGGCAACTTTGTTAAACCGGAATATGGTTTGAAACAAGGTAAAGGTGAGTGGCACATTATAATTTTGTTGTAGCTCTATACCGGTTCTTATGACATACATGCTTTACAGTTTAGTTTCTTATTAAACAATAAACTTAAAACAGTGACATTACATGATAATTTCTTTTCTTTCGGTTGATTATGTCATTTTCTCATCCATGTCCATCTTTCTTGGCAGGGCTTTTTTTGTTGAAAGGGCTTCAATTGGTAATTTAATACAAGTTCTTGGAGTCTATTGATGCAAAAAGGTACGGTTTTATTGCTTCTTCAACAAAACAAATAAAATGCTAAATCTCAATGACAAAGACTAACATCAAGAGAGGTTCTGAAATAAGTTTTCTTACATGTAAAATTTATGTAAAAAAGATGAATCTGAAAAGTAACCATATGGTTAAACTCGATAATTCTGATATAGAATGGATAACTGTTATGATGGTTTCTCAAATTGGCCTATTTTGATATTATATAAAATACAGAAAAAAAAAAAAACTTTGATTATTAAACTATTAATTTTTAACAATTTATATATCCACCTAACTATTATGATGAAAATTGTAAAAAGAAACAGTTCAGTGGCTAAATTTATATAATTATCTTTTTTTAATCTTTTCCAAATTAGGTAACAGGGAAAAATGTTTCTTTATCAACCATTATGAACTATGGTCATCTTTTCAATTGCTAAATTATGCTCTTTCTATATGCCTATTTAAGTATTTATCAACATCCAACATATTAGGATTGATTTCACAAACACAAATCTGAGTTCCTCACTACAAATCATCTTAATGTGTGTCTTATATGGCTCTGTGACTAACACTATTGATTGTTTCTAAAATTCTTTAAGTGATATCACCTGTAAAAAGAGGTGATATGGCCTTAAAAATAGTAAAAAAAAAACGGATTTAGGTAAAGAGTAATAACGTAAAAAGGAACAATGTCATAATTTGATGCAACCTTGGTGAAGACTTTCCAACCAGTTGGCTTTTTTATTCTTTGTTTACTTCCTTAAATCCAGTAGTGTATTAAGACACCAATGCATGGACTTATCATTGTAAAATAATAGATTAATCAGAAATTTATGAATAAAGAAACAAGAAAGCAGTAACAGTTCAATGGTTTTTGTTTTATGGCAGAAAGCATAGATATGTGATCTAGATGATGACATTCATGAACTTGGTCAAGACAAAAGAGAAAAATGTGTTAATTTCTAACTTTCTCAATGAAACTAAAATATTGATTTGGTATAGATCATGGAGTTATATGTTTTTTTTTGTTGTTTGTAACAGGTAAATCATCCAAAAAAGGATAATTGTATGACATCTTAACATGCAACTACTTGCACCTATTTTTCTTAAAAAGAACTTATATTTTGATTTTATTGGATTATCTTTTTAAAAAAGGCTCACGTAATGTCACATTTTTTCAACAACTAGACAGATAAATAGTTGGATGTCTTCATTAACTCCATTATGTATTATGTTTTTTTTGTTTGTAACAAGAAAAGTAAAACAAAACAATGATTTTACTACATCTTACATATAGATTATGGATTATATCTATCAGTTTTTAAAATTTTCTATTACCATTGCAGTTTTGATCCGATTCCAACTCCTGTGGTTCTAAACCCCCGCAACGCGGAAATCTTCCATAGTTTATAATAAACAACTAAAATGACCATATATATATATATATATATATATATATATATATATATATATATATATATATATATATATATATATATATATATATATATATATTTCATAAATACATGTAAGAAAATAATAATGTTATTTACAAACTTCGAAAATAACAACATGACCCATAAGATTGTTTACTTCTTTTAAAATTAATTAAATAAATAATAAACTCTAAAGCCTCGATATGTAACTTTTATTATTATTTTACATTATTGTAACCAAAATCAATAATACTTAGCGGGGTGTTGGTTTCGGGTAGAGGTGACAGTTGATAACACGACACGACAAAAATACACGACATGAAACGAAATTGAGACGAAACAGAAATTCAAATTCGTGTTCATGTCGTATTTGTGCCAAGTGTAAAAAACACGACGTCGTATCGTGTCATGTTCGTGTTCAAATTTTGACACGAAATTGACACGATTTAACATTTTTTTGTCGTGTTTTTCATGTTTTTCGTGTTATGTGTGAATAAATATTAATTAAATACATTAACTATTATTTCATATTATCTTTTTCGTGTCGTGTCGTGTCGTGTTTGTCGTTTTTTAATCCATTTGTTTTCGTGTTAGTTAAGAAAAACTCGAGATCGTGTCGTGTCGTGTTCGTGTTACATAAAACGTTGTCGTGTCGTGTCATGTCAGATAAAAACACGACATGATGGTCCGATTTGCCACCCCTAGTTTCAGGGAGCCAAGTGATATGATTTGGATTTTTGGGGATTAAAGTGTAATTTCGGGATTTAAATTGTAAAGAAATTTGAAGGTTGAGGGGTGTTTGGTATCATTTGGACTTATATTGAATAGATTTTTGAGGATAAAGGGATGAATGGTAACTTATGGATTTATTTTGAAAAGAGTATGAGTGGGAGGGACTGGAAGTGTCTATTTCGTAAGAAGTTGTATGGGACGCAGGATTAAACTGGTGCCTTCTTTTCCCTCTCGTTACAATGCCTAACCCTAACCCTAGACACACATATCATCAGCCACCACCTTTGTGGAGACCTACAGTCGTCTCCGTTATCTTTTTCACTATTCTTTGCGCCGCCGAGCTCTGCTAGTTGCTGTGATGCTGTTGTTGAAGGCCAAGGCTGCCATGGGACGTCATGGCAGTGGATGACCTGAAGAGCAACATCGGCGGTCTTCGTTGTAGCTATTTCGGTGGGTTTGTCCACCTTCTCTTTCTTATTCATCTCTTCCGGTTAGTACTTTGTTGCTGTCGTCGCTGCTCTGAGCGGCTGTCATGATGTTGCCAACTACTCCGCCTACCATATGCGACCGTGAAATGATGGTTGTATTTGTAGCCCCCAAGGTGTGATGCTTCTTTCGTTTGTCGTCTCAGCTTTTCCTTCCCCATTGCTTCGGTGTTACACCATAGTCATGACCGTCGCCGCTGGTATGGCTCATTCCTGTTGCTCAGGTCAACATCCACCACCCCGAGGGAGGTTGTAGTGTGCATTCCATCTCCATTGTCACAAGTATGTATGTATATTCCGATGATGTTCGTTGTGTGGGTGTATCTCGGCCGAAAAATCAAGAGAAGCCATCACCACCACCGTGAGGTGGTGGCTGTCACTTCCAACCACCGCCTGCCACCACAAGGGTGGATGAGTGCATGTGTGTGTTTTATTTTGTGTGTATGTGTGTGTTTATTTGGATATTATGTTGTAAAATGTATTGCTTGGCCGGATTAATCGAGGAAACTAACCACCATCACCACCATGAGGTGGTGACTGCCACCTTCTGCCGCCATCATATGCCGTGCTGGGTGGCAGTGTGCATTGTGTGATTCAATTGTTAGTTTAGATGCTTGTACATATTTAATTTAAAATTATAACCAATACCGTGAGGTGGTGGCCGCCGCCGTGAGTCGCCGTTGACCACCACTACCCGAGGTGGTAGTGGGTGGTGCTTGACTTATTTAAACCTAGTTGACCTAATGAAGCCCTAATTGACCTAAAAACCTAATCATTTGACTAATGGACAAACGATTAGGTTGGAAACCTTAATTAAGGTTTAGAAAACCCTAATTATGGATTTGTTGGTTTGGAATTGTCGGGACCCACATGTTTGGACCATTAGATTGGAATTATGAATTAATCCCAACCATATTTTATGTTTGAACTAGTAGAGTGATGGAGTTAATGGGTTAAGTAAGAACACTTAACCCTAATCATCATTTTATGTGAAAACCCTAATTCGGTTGGGCCTTTGAGTTCAGACTTTCTATTGGGCATTTGTGATTGGGCTATTGATGGGCCATCCATGAATAAGTATATGGACTAGAATATTTAGATGGGCATTAGGGTAAGGCCCATGTGAGGGTTTGGGTCCAATTTTTAAAATTGGGCCATAGATGGGCCATACTTGGGCCTTGATGATTATGAGATATTGGACCATTGGAATACCAAGTGTTTGGACTAGAATAAATGGTTGGGCCTTAAGGTAAGACCATGTAGAGGTTTGGGCCCAATTTGGAAAATTGGGCCATATGTTGGGCCTTGGTTCATTGATTGGTTTTTGGGCCTTCAGAGTGTGTTTTTGGGCCTTGGATTTGAATTAAGCTAGGTTGGGGGTAAAGTAGCCTTTTTACCCCAAGCATGGACATATGGTTATGTACTGGAACCCATTTATTAATTGGGTGTTTTTTTATGTTGACAGTTCGGGAGTCCACAACATCCTTATATGTTTATATATGTGTGATGTAGTATGGTACTTATATTTTGTGATATGTGGTATGCTTTTTTACTCTGTTTCATTTACATGGAAGACCCCGGGGGGAGCTTGTGGCAGTTGGATATCAGACCATGGGGGGAGCCCATGACATTGCAGGTAAAGACCATTGGGGGAGCCCATGGAACTTGGTTGTCAAACCATATGGGGGAGCCCATGGAATTCTTAGTAAGACCATGGGGGAGCCCGAGGCATATAGGTTTAAGATCATGGGGGGAGCCCACGACATCCTGGAGTAAGACCCTAAAGGGAGTCCACAACATACTTATATGTTTATATACTTGGCTTGTGTATACTAAATGGTTATGTGACATGTGGTACGCTAGTTGTTTATGAGATATTTGATATGCTAGTTGTCTTTGTGATACTTGCATGGAAGACCCCGGGTGGAGCCCGTGGCAGTTGGATATCAGACCATGTAGGGGATCCCATGGCATTCTGTATATGTTGTATGCATGGCTTGTATGTTGATATGATTTATGTGATTATGTGGATTGTGTGGGGTATGTTATGGGGAAATCACTAAGCTTCGTGATTACAGTTTTATTTATGGCTTCATGTATCATCGATTTAGAAAGGAAGGGTCTGGCTTAATTGTAGCACACACACCTGTGTTTCCGCAATGTATGATTTTGGGACGAACTCTGATAAATGTTTTTAATTAATCATGTTTTTGGAATATTTGGATTTAGAAGATATCTGAATTTTGACTATAATAAAAATAAAATTTTTACCCTTGATTTTCGGGTCGTTACATTACATGTTCTAAGTAGGTTTATAACACCTCATGAAATGTGGAGTAGAAATGTTTTCTTGCTCTAGCACATTTGAAATTGGTAGTTATGATTTTTTGGTTAAAATAAAGACCAACTAAGACCAATTGTATGAAATGTTTTCTTGATTAGAACCCGCACTAAATCTTAAATATTTATTGGTCGAGGAATGTGTTGGATTAATGTCTAAGTCCATAAATATAATTGGTAAGACTTGACCCGACCCGACATGGTCCATTTGGGTTGCATGGCATCATGCACTTGGATAGACTAAAATGAGAGAAATAAGACACTTATGGTTATTAATATATTATAAGTTCTAGTATATTAATAATAAGAATAATAAGATTATTTAATTAGTATTGATCAAGAATTAATCTAGGATTAATTAAGTGATCAAAAGAAATCTAATTAAATATACGGGTTGATTGTGTAAATCATCCATACTTGTATAGTGGGCTAATGCTCCATGGATTATCTAGTTGGGCCAAAACCCATATGATACTCCATGGATGCTCCATGGTGTATTTGAACCCATGGATCCAAGGAAATGGAAAGTCATGACAATTAGGGTTTACCCTAATTGTAACACTATATAAAGATATTATTCTTGACAAAATCGGCACTAGTATGATTCTAGAGAGGGCTAGCCGATTTCATGAAGTGTAGAATTCTCTCAAGTTATTCCAAGTGTATTTGGTGTTGTGTGAACCATTTGAGGTGTCACACTTGGGGCACTAGGCACTCAAGCTTCATGAAGACATTCTACATCAAAGAGGTATGTATTCTATCTTGTTATATTGATAGTTTGTATGCTAGATTAGGATAATACCTTGGATGTTCATATTTGCATGTATAATAGAGAAAACATAGATCCAAGGTATTTAGGGTTGCATGTACACTTAGGAGTGTTAGAATGCTCATAACCCAACAGTGGTATCAGAGACTAGGCTTGTTTTCTTGTTATACTTGCAAATGGAGCTGAAAAATCGTGTTTTGATGCTGTCAGCCCAGCAGACTCGCCGAGTCCATGAAGGGACTCGACGAGTCCAAGGCAAAATGCATCCAACTCGCCGAGTTTTGTTCATGCACTCGACGAGTTGGACCCCAGACAGCATATTTTCGAGGTTTTTGGCTAGAAATGGACTAGGAACATTACCCTAAGTTGTTTTTGAACTTATAAACTTGTTTTTTAATGTGGTAATGTTCATGCTAATCCATTTTCAAAGATAATTGTCAATAGATTCATGTTTTGTATTAGTTTAAAGGTTAGACTAATTACATGAAAAAG